CTCTTTTGGAATCAGAGCCGTCCTTTTGTTAGAATGAATCACAAACACCAAACATATTTAATTAGACTGAATTATAAATAACACAGTAAAACTACAAGTTGAGAGAAAACTGTCAAACACTGAACTTTACAGCATGTCAGAGAGCAGCTGCAGAGCATCTGTGCCTGCTGTTTTAACGGTCACACCATGCTGCAGTTCAAGTTAATGACATTTGTTTTCCTTCCCAAACAGTGATTCACTGAAATGTGGAACCAGGGGACTCGGCTGAATACTTATTATAAAAGTGATGTATGACTGACTTGTGCTGAGTTATGGGCGATTGACAATTTTCAACATTTTCACAAGTGTACAAAACTTATTCTTTTTGGAGATCCCCCTTCCCCGCTCCAAAAGTGCACAGGAAAATGGTGACTTTCACAAAACCTGCATTATATGAAGATGAGGTATAACCCCCGCTGTGCTTACATTGATATTGTACTGAGGTAAAATTGTCTTTCCACATTTGGATATGTCTCAAAAAAAATTTTTTTGCGCTGTGCAGGAGGTCTGTCAATCAGAGTGGGATGAGAGGCATCTATGGGCAAGAACTGTTCGTCTACAGCGTCTTTCATTGGGATCTTCGCTCTGAGCGCTTTGGGATGAAGAGGAGAGATGCCGCTCGCTCAGCTGGGAGCCCTGCTTTCACCTGGGCTCACCGTACAACAGTTGGTGTGTCAATATTTGCCATGCGGGAGAATACCAACATGGTCGTCATACAGGGTGCATCAAAAATTGGTAGGGTACACCAATCCTTGACCCCCTCCCTCCCAGCGTATGGTTTATAAGCTTGCGAAAATGTTAAAAATTGTGCATCGTCCCTATAAGGCATTTGTTTTACAGCTGCATGGAAAACAAACTCACCCAGACTCCTCCTTCCACATGTCTTTATCTTTACATTGTTGAGACATGTGAAGAACTTTCTCCAGTTCCTGAAACACAAGACAAAAACTGCAATATATGACAGAAATCTACTTTTCCACTCCACGAGTTTCTCGGGGTTCCCCCGAACGTTTGAGGAAAAGACAAGAAAGTAAAACAAGGTACCTTTATACAAGACACATGACTGCTTTGCTGTCCATCACACTCTGACAGAGCAGGATCCTCGTCCGGGTTGGGCTCTATAAAGTCATAGAGATCCTGATCTGATGGAGGGAGGAAGCAGCCGCGTTCATCACATGACACTTCATTCTACTACCCCATGTCTCTGTTATTGCTTTCAAAGGGAAAATGTGATACTTATATTCGGT